GAAGTATGTGGATCCTCCGAGCTCATTTGACCTTCAGCCACGACTGCATCATCCCTGCTTGGCCAGGGAGAAAGCAGGCTCGGAGAGAAGGTAAATAAATGACTTTGGTCCGGTGTCACAGCTGGTTAGTGACAGAGCTAGGCTTGAACCCAAGGTTCTTTGAGGCCCAAACCCGTGTTCTTCCCACTTTGCTAAGCTGCTTCTCACGTTGTGATACAGAAATTAAGGTAAATAATGTGGAAGGAAAGAAGGTTAATATGTAAATCAATGGTCACTGTTTTGATATGATGTCATGAAACATTTTTGTCCCCACCCTCATTTACATTGAGGGTGTTTGTCCTGGGTGCAGTTGTTAAGGGAAAGTCTCTCCAAATTCATAAAATTGTAGGAGTCTGTACATTTTCATATCCTGACTCAATTTTGTTGTTTCTACCCACCTGTATCTCAAAGTGATCAGTCCTTCCTCGCAGGCACAGCCACATCTCCCTAGAGTCAACCTTATTCTCCCCTGATCTCTGTGTATGCACTTAACACTGAAGAGAGATAGAGCAGGATTCACCAACAAACCCTGGATTTTGTTTCGTTTTAAGAAAAAAAAAGTATTACCTTGGGTATAAAATTATAGAAGAATTTTGTCCTACTCGCGAGCACCTTGGGGATTTCTGCTTGCATTCTTCAGCCCCTTCTGCAGCAGTTCACACATTTTCCCCTTTCTAAGCTCTGTGTACTCACTTCCCCTTGCACCTGTGGCTGCTGGTCACCACAGACCAGATCCTCTGGCTTTGAGCACCTTGACTTAACCTTCACTGCTCCTCTTGGCTCAGATTCCTCTGTTCAAAAAATAATGTGTGTCTAGATTCTCCTCCCTCTCAGCTAATCTCTTACCCCATTTACTTCCTACTCTATTGTACCCCTCATACTCTGCTGATCCTACTCTTAAAAATAATAGCAACCTCCCAGTCACCAAACTCCAAGGTCTTTTCTCAGCACTCACACCCTATGACCTTGGGCTGCTCGGAGTCTTTTGCTGGGTGCTGGGATCCATTGATGGAGCTCCTCCCACTCCTGCCCCGTCCTTTATGCCAGGTTTAAGAACAACTTCTCCCCAGGAGGCTCTCTCCTTTTCATTTTGTCTATCTCTGAATTATCTTGCTTCTCTGTGGACGCCGCCCAATCTCATAGGTCCCTGGCCTGACTTTCCTCTGCAACATAGTCAGCTTCTCTTTGACTCTCTTTTTTTTTTTTTGAGAGGACATCTCACTCTGTCATCCAGGCTGGAGTGCAGTGGCATGATCTCGGCTCACTGCAATCTCCACCTCCTGGGTTTAAGTGATTCTCCTGTCTCAGCTTCCTGAGTAGCTGGGATTACGATGTGCACCACCACACCCAGCTAATTTTTTTATTTTTAGTAGAAACAGAGTCTCGCTATGTGGGCCAGGCTAGTCTCGAACTCCTGGCCTCAAGTGATCTGCCTGCATGGGCTTCCCAAAGTGCTGAGATTACAGGCATGAGCCACTGCACCCAGCCTTCTCTTTGACTCTTTAATATTCCCGAATAACTTAAATACTTTCCAAGCACCTGCAATGGAATATGGCCTGAACAGAACTCGCTGTATTTCTCTTCATGATCCCCTTTTCTCTTAATGACGCTACCCTCCTCTCAAGGCTCCATTTTTGGCTTCTTTCCCTGTGCATCCTCATTGCAATACCCTGCAAGATCCTGCTGGAATTCTGTGAACCTCTCCTCACATCTCATCATTCCCTGCTAATCACTATTCATTTCAGCTACTCATTAACTCTTGCCCTAATGTTGTAATAGCCTCCCAATAGGTCTTTCTAGCCTTCCCTTAATGAATCATTCTGCTACTCTTAACCTTTCTGGTGTTTTCCCATTGCTCACTCTAAAGTCCTGAATCCTTGGCCTGGCACTGGGGGCTGCCCACAGTCCAGGTCCGCAATCTGTGACCTCTGCCTGACTAATGTCATTTCCTCCTTCCCTGTGGGATCTGCTATCCCTGGTTGGGCCTGGGGAGAGTGCTTACAGGTTCTCTGAGAGTTTTATTTCTTTAAGAGGCATCTGTGGCCAGCCGCAGTGGCTCACGCTTATAACCCCAGCAGTTTGGGAGGCTAAAGTGGGCAGATCATGAGGTCAGGAGATCAAGACTATCCTGGCCAATGTGGTAAAACCCATATCTACTAAAATAGAAAAAATTAGCCAGGAGTGGTGGCACATGCTTGTAGTCCCAGCTACTCAGGAGGCTGAGGGAGTGAATCCCTTGAACCCAGGAGGCGGCAGTTGCAGTGAGCTGAGATCATGCCATTACACTGTCTTAAAAAAAACAAAAAATCGGTATCTGTATCAGACCTTAAAGGCTAAAATGATCAAATTCTTAAAGAAGACTTCTCTGAGTTACTCTAGTATTAGAAACAATCCTCTAGCCAGTGTCCCAGGTAGAATATGAAATATTCTGTAACTGCCTACCTTCTTTCCTTTGCTCATGCTGATTTCATAAGCTGAAAATAGCCTGTCCCCTGATTTTATGTGTCTAATTCCAAAATCCAGATTTTTCTCTAAACTGCCCCTGATTCCTTCAGCTCTCTTAGGGCACCTTGTATTTACATTACAATTGTTTAAGTGCGCAGCACTCCCATCTCTAGGCTGGGACTTTTTTATGGGCAGTGACAGGATCTTAGTTACAAGGGACAAAAAGAAACATCATGCTTGACACATAGTAGATATTCAATGAAAAGTTGAATTAATATAAGAATGAAAGAAAAAAATATGTACACGTGTTCCTTCTTACCTGACTTTGGTTTTGGGTAGAATGTGGGTCTGATTTATATCCTACAGTATTTAGGGTTGTGCTTTGCACATAATAGATTTTCCATAAATATTTCTTGAATTAGTGAATAGCTATGTAGTTAATCCTGATATGAACTTTCTGAATGCCGTATTACTGTATTTCACTTTCAGTAACTTAAGTGCTTTTAATATAGCTAACATATTTTAAAGTATGTTAAACTTTTGATTGTTACTAGTTTTTAACAGTGATTATTTTTGCCTTTGAACTGATTTGCTTTTTCTTGCTTTTGTTTTTTTTTTTTTTTTTTTTTTTTTTTTTTGTTTGTTTGAGACAGGGTCTCACTCTGTCATCCAGGCTGGAGTGCAGGGGTGCAAACATGGCTCACTACAGCCTCAACCTCCCAGGCTCAGGTGATCCTCCCATCTCAGCCTGCTGAGTAGCTGAAACTAGAGGCCCTTGCCACCATGCCTGGCTAGTTTTTGTATTTTTTGTAGAGATGGGATTTCACCATGTTGCCCAGGCTGGTCTCGAACTCCTGAACTCAAACGATTTTCCCTCCTCAGCCTCCCAAAGTGCTGGGATTGCAGTGTGAGTCCCCATGTTGGCCAGGTTGGCTTTTGCTACATTCTTAATTTTGATTGTTAACACATTATATATCATGGGGTGGAGTGGGGGGCAGTGCTTTCTTAGTTTCACAAAGGAAATTAGAAAGAAAAAAGAAGGGTCACTTTTAAGAAAAATGTGAAGGAGCTTATCTATTTGCTTTAGCTCCCATCTCTAGGTATTGGTGGGGTTCTAGGACTAGCAATTTTTTTTGCAATAGTGGTTGAGTTGTTCTTTCTAGAATCATCATGGCTCCATCCAGGAACACATAATTTGGATGCTTTCAATGGAAAATGGAGTCAGGCAGCCTTGTTGAAATGCCAGTGGAGCATTAGAGGGGGTTCCCAAACTTCAGTGAAGTTGAACTAAGTTTTTTTGCTTCCCCTTCATACCAGGATGCTAACACTGGTTGTTTTTTTTTGTTTTGTTTTGTTTGTTTTTTAAATTTTTACAATGAGGAATGCTTGCCGGTCTTCCCTGACAACCTTTTACTGTGGAATATTTGATTTCAATTACTGAATTAATGGTTCAGTCATCCCTCTATCTGAGGGCATTGGTTCCAAGACTCCCATGTATACCAAAATCTGCAAATACTCAAGGCCCACAGTAGGTGCTATAAAACCCAAGAATATGAAAAGACAGCCATTGGTATATGGGGGCTTTGCATCCTCAGAACACTGTATTTTTGATGTTATTTGGTCACAGATGCAGAATCCACTCATAGAAAGGGCTGACTGTATCTATTAAAAAAATTTGTACTAAGTGGATCCACGTGGTTCAAACCTGTGTTGTTCAAGGTTCAACTGAACTTGCTTTTAGTCGTGTTACTTGGTGCAAAGCTAAGTAGTAATGAAACAAAAAAACTAACTGGAAAGTGTCAGGGATGCCTTTGTGATGAGCGTGCCTTTGTGATCCATTCCGCCTTAAGGTTCACTGCTGCTTCTGGTTTTGTTGCTGTTTGAGATTTTTGTTTTGTTCTCTTCAAATGACTTGGTGGGAAACATAAAACATGCCTTCACATGCTTCTTCTGTAGTGTGACTTTAATTCTCTGTGAGAGAAGAACAATCCTAACCCATGTAAGTAAACGGAGCAAGCTAGTTACTGGAAGTACCTAGGCTTGTGAAGTTGCCTAAATCTTGCAATTAAGACTTGAAAGTGGGTAAGTAGAGTCAGGAAAAAAGGTCAGATGATCTAAGGAGAGAAATTTACTTCTAGGAAATGCTACGTACTTCTTGGAAGCAGGAGAATTTCTCCAGTATATTTTAGAAGGATGACGCAGAGTTTGCTGAAATGTACAAAACAGAAACAAAAAGATTCCCTCTTTGTGAAATATGGACGCATCATCTACACCTATGGGAGGTGTTCATTTTTTTTGGAAATGAACAAAGTATTTGGCATGACGTGCTGTCTGAGACAACTCTCATTCACCTTTCACTGGGCATTATTGGAATCCTGTAGTTTCAAGAGTCGTAAATTTTTAGGCTTTTGGCCCAATGTCAAGACTTCTGAGCAACAGTATAAATCCATTAGATATGTTGACATCTGAATGTCTTTGAAGTAATTAATATTGTTTACATTATTTGTCTCTCTCAGAAATGAACACACCTGTGAGTACTGGATGCCTGTGAGCTCCCCATCACCTGCACTGCAAAGACGCAGAGCGGCAGCCTCTGAGAAGCAGCTCCTTCCCCTTCACCTTGTCCTTGCCCTTCCTGCTCAAGGTCTACCATGGAGACGCTGTCCCAGGACTCCCTGCTGGAATGTCAGATCTGTTTCAATTACTACAGCCCCCGGCGCAGGCCCAAGTTGCTGGATTGCAAGCACACCTGCTGTTCAGTGTGCCTCCAGCAGATGAGGACCAGCCAGAAGGACGTGCGGTGCCCCTGGTGCCGTGGTGTCACCAAGCTGCCCCCCGGCTTCTCCGTGTCACAGCTCCCCGACGACCCGGAGGTCCTGGCTGTCATTGCCATCCCACACACTTCCGAACACACCCCGGTCTTCATCAAACTTCCCAGCAATGGGTGCTACATGCTGCCCCTGCCCATCTCCAAGGAGCGTGCGCTGCTGCCTGGAGACATGGGCTGCCGCCTGCTGCCCGGGAGCCAGCAGAAGTCCGTCACTGTGGTGACCATCCCTGCCGAACAGCAGCCTCTGCAAGGCGGGGCTCCCCAGGAGGCGGCGGAGGAGGAGCAGAGCAGGCGGGGCGTGGTGAAAAGCTCCACCTGGTCGGGGGTGTGCACTGTCATCTTGGTGGCCTGCGTCTTGGTCTTCCTCCTCGGCATCGTGCTCCACAACATGTCTTGCATCTCTAAGCGCTTCACTGTGATTTCCTGTGGCTGAAGACAGCTGCAGGGAAGTCTCTGGTGGGTGCCAACTTAGGGGTTGAGCAGGTTGGTGATGAGATCACGGTAAGAAGATGGGGGGGAGCGACACTGACCATTTGGTGCTGAGCGCTGGCCTCTGGGTTGCCTCTTGATTTACCCCAAGACAGACACAAAGGGCAGAAGGTGAGGTCTCAACAAGATACCAGGCGAATTGTTTTGAGTGTTGATGGCAACAGCTTTGAAGATGATTGCATGCATCCTCATAATCATGTATTCAATGGACTGTAATTTATGATTTTTGAAAATCATGTTACGAGATAGACATAGTCTACTTAGACGTTAAACTGCACAAGTACGTGCAATGTGATCTTCTCTAAATGCGGTAGATTAAAACAAAGATGCTATGTATACAAGTAGAGTTAAACCTGCGAATCCGTGTAAAAATCCAGTGAAGACATGCACTGCTGGCTTCTTTACTTTTTTGTTGTTGTTCTTTTTATTGAAACGCAGTCTTTATTTAGTTGCTAAGGCTTTTTATACATTTTGAATGGCACCAAAACAAAATAAGTCAAGATGGACAGTCGTTTTTTTGGAGAAAATATTTGAACATGTGTCTCCAATGTGTTGTGTTTTGTCATGAACCTTCATTTTCTTCACGTGTAATTAGAGCTTGCTACGTGTTGATGAAACTGAAAGCTCAACAGGGGAGCAATAAACCGAGAAATCATGAGACATGCCCAATCCCGCAGGAACCCTGAACGCTGATTTTCCTCAAGCCATCTCACAAAATAAGAATTTCAAATGTAAATATTGTGTATTTGTGTGTGTATGTATGTGTGTCTAATTTGATTTACCTCAGGTGTTTGAGTCTTTGCAGAAGAATCCTGGGATTAAGACTTCACTGGGCATGGGTGAGTCGAGTCTCTGAAGCGGTGGCCACTTCATGGGCACCTGCACCCAGCGAGGAGTCTCCTACCCGTCACCTGCAACACTCGCTCCTCCTCTGTGTATTTGAGTCCTGCATTTTGTCAGAGGCAAATGGAGAGTAACAGAACAGTGTCTTTTCCCCCGGTTTTGGAATCTTGCGCTGGCCATGAGTGTCGTGACTGATGGCCAACCCGGGCGGGCGTTTTAATAGATGGTCTGTGGTTCTTTTTTGAAAGATGCTCTTCCACAAGAGTTAAACCAGTTAGATTCCAGTTTCCTCTTATTGATGTAAGAGAGAGGATCTCCTGTATTTTAACATGTTTTTACTGGGAAAAGTGGCAAGGTAAACTAATAGCTCAAATTCCCAAAATAAGTGGACCAGTTCTTCATATACTGTCAAATATTCTTAAATGTGTAATGGTCTCTAGATGCTCATGAAGAAAGCTCTGCTAGACGTAAGTGATAAATTCCTATCCCTGGGTGCATGTGCATTCAGAAATAGCTGTGAGCTTTACAGTTCTCATCTAACTTATTTTATGGAATTCATGAAGCAAGTGGTATGTGACAAGGACTCCACTTATAAATATAACTGTTTTTATGTTCTACTGAATCCCTGAAAATGGTGAGGAGGGTGGGGGAAAGTGAAGGAGAGACAAGCAGGGCTAATTCTAAAAAAGCAAGGCTAGAAAATAGCCCTGTGAGGTCAAGATAATTTAATTTATTTACATGCTACCTGTTATCTTCAGGCAGCACAAAACATGCATATAAAAGTGATAGAATTAATGTGAAATAAAACAAAAATATAATGACTAGAATACAAAGCTAATAGTGCTAATTGGCATGAGAATTCAACATAAAATTAGGAGCTCTGATTTTTCAAATTTTTCAAATTTATCATAAGACCTTTAGGAAATGTATTTGAAAGCTCAAAATAGAAATTAGGTTAAAATGCCATTTTATTGTGTAAGCTATTGGGCATTATACAACAAATAATCTAGGATTTATTTGGTATTAATAATTTAGGCATCATATTAGCTGAATACTCTCCTCTATTACGTAATATACTGTTGGGTTAGTGTCAATTTCTCAAACTCTCCCAGGCTGCTGTAATGCATGTCTGACCTGATTTCTGTTTCTCTTGGAGAAACACACACACATATATACACAACCACGGAAATGTTGCATTAAGAATGCTACATTTCAAATAGACTTTACCCTCACAATTTCAGGCTATGCCATATTCAAATTAATTTTGTGAGTGATATCTGCATATGTTTCTGTACAGTATGAAATGACTGACCCTGTAGTGTAGTATGTGATAGAGTTCTACTTGTTAAAGTAGGTTAGATATAGACACTAAAGTATGTGATGATAGCGTCCTGTGTTTCTTAGTGCAAATCCTGTAGAGTAAAAATGTTCATAGAACTTTTACTTAAAAACAGTCCCGTGCTAGAGCTGCCATTAAGCAGTGCAAAATTAATTGGCAGTATGGTAGATTCTTGACCTTAAAATTTAACAATAGCAACCAAAATCAGATTATTATTTTTTTTTCTTGCGAGTCTTATTGACATAAGAAACATTGTTTAAATTGTTTAAATGGATTCTGCATTCTGCCTGCAGTTATTTGTGTACCTGTTTGTTAGGGTGTGCATTCTTTGTGTGTGTGTGTGTGTGTGTGTGTGTGTGTGTGTGTGTGCATGTGAGAGAGAGAGAGAGAGAGAGAGAGAGAGAGAGAGAGAGAGAGAGGAGTTCTCAGCCTGCCAGATAGAATTTTATAGGCTCAATGAAGTTTTAATGTTACTTGGCATCCTATTGTTCTGGCCTCTTCTGGCATTTACCAATGACCCTTAACAAACACATCTACCCATGTGACCAAAGTCCACTGACACAAGAGGCCAGAATTCTTACTTGCACATCAATGTGAAAAGTCACAACTGGAAAGCACAGAAAGTTAGAGCTGAAAGCAACCTCCGGTAGCTTCATTTTGTAGATGGGTCCGTTTTGTAATTCTGCAGAAAAGGGGGGATATGAACTTTGCACTGCAGTGTCTTCTTGCTCCATCCCAGGTCTGTCTATGTCTCTATCAGCTATGATCCTTTCTAGGTTTGATTAATACCCTTTACTAAGTCAACTGTTGCTTTAAAGGATATTTTCTGTAGGTTTATGTGCTCATTTTAGTTGGCATCTACCTCTCTGGGAAAATGAAAGGAGGGTTGACTTAGGGATGAGTATAGATGTTGAAAGACAACTATCAAACCATGTGGTTTGAATTTTTAAAATTGTAGAGCATTGGTGTCCAAATCTCCCACCCCACTTGTATGTAAAGGACAGTGAGTGTTGTGTAAATAATAAACTCTAAGAAGCATGAATTTTCATCTTTATTAATGATCTTGACATAAGCAAGAGAATGCTTCATTTGTTAAGTAGAGCCAAGAATGCTACTAAAAAGCATTGTCTTTGGAAAAATTTTGTATAATGACTTGGAGCATAAGTTGTGATGAAAAGGCAACTTGATTCTCAGTTCCAGTCATACTTAAGGATCAGAAAGCTCTAAGATATTTTCTTTATAAATACAACTGTTTAATTTTTTGCATGACTTATATATTGGGTCCCTTGAAGGTAAAACCAGGTGATGGTATAACCTGTGAGATCTAGATTGGCACCGTTCTATAGAACTTTCTGTGGCAATGGAAATGCTCTGTCACCTGTGCTGTCTGGTACAGTGGCCACAAGCCACATGGACTTTCAGGCAGTTAAAATGGGGTTAGTACAAGGGAAGAAGTAGACTTCAAATTTTATTTAACTGAAATCTAAATGTGACAAGGGGCTGCCATATTGAACAACGCAGCTCTGGATGATTGTGCTTGCGGATCTAGCATCAAGGTATTAATGGAGTAACAGTGAGGCCAAGAAGAGAGTTTGTGTGCTAATAACATGTAGTTGGCAAAAGGCAAAAAAATTCCTTTCTGGGCTTAAAAAGTATATGATCTCAAGTATGACAGTAAAAGTTCATTGTTGCCCTTTGGAACTGTTGCTGATAGACTTTGGGCCAAGGAATGATCAGTGAAGCTTAAAGAGTGCTTTATTAAGCCCCTTTTCTGGGATTATTAGCTGCATGTGAACCTATTGTCCAAAAATAGTAGTTAGACAGTAGCTGTAAAACGTTTGACTTGTAAGCTATGCATGACCTATACTGTGAAATTGTGTCTAGGGTCTTGTGGCCAAAAAGTAAATGTTACAGGAAAAAAAAAAGCCTAATGAAATCCCTATTCACTTCCAATATCTTATCCAAACTTCATTGCTGTATTAATAAGGTGCAAATATAAGAGCAAGCATGGTTTGCAGTGTTCAGACTGTTTTTGTTTGCCCTTGAAGTCTGCCAGCTTGTCATTGTATTTGGTGTAGGCATATGTGGGCATCATTTTTCAGATGCCAGACTAAAATGTAGGTACTATTTTTAGAGTGAGATTTGACATTGTTTTAGTCTCTTTCTTTTTTAAACAAAAATTTTAGTTATCACTGAAAGAGTTGAAGATTTGAAGCTTTGCACAAAGGCACTTTTTTTTTAATAGTAAAACATACTGCCCATGAAATTTAAAGACTTGAAGGTTACTGAAGCTACTAGAATTAATTTTTAGCTAAATAAAAGGAAGCAGAAAATTCAGTTTGAAATATATTTTTTTCTGTAAAGACCAAATTCTTACTGATAATCTGGTATTTATTCCAGTCTAGATTTTGATTTGAAGAGTTCCCATCCCTTTATTTGAAAACTTATATTGCTTTCAAAATTGGTTAGTCTGCTTTTCATTGTTTTCCAAATGGAATATATACCAAATGCATTTACTTCATTTTAGCAGAAATAGTTTTTTTTTTTTTTTTTTTTTTTTTTTTTTTTAAGAATTCATCAGTGGGCAAGACTTTTCTTCTTAGCTTGCCTTTAAAAATCATTTATTTATTTATTTTTTTGTCAAGATAGTAGTCTTTCTTTAGACTTGAGGAAGATAGAAGTCCAAAAGTTATTGGTGCAAGAGGAATAATGCACAAAAGACTTCAGTTTCTATCTTCCCTCAGAAAAACGATGCTGCCCACCAGTCAGCATTTTGTTTCCACCTAAGAAGTGTCAGTCTGTCATCCCTGACCTAGATGGAGAAGCTGTTCCTTGACGTTGCCATCATTCTCAGTAAATTGTCACCTACAAGTTAATTCTTAGCAAAACAGAAACTATTGAGAATAATAATATAGTCAAGGTAATTCAGTAGCTGTTTTGAAAGTAGTAGTCTATTTCAAAAGCAAAAACAATGATGTTCAGTTGCTGGATTTTGTGCAACATGAAACCCCCCCACACCTTTTTTTTTTTTTTTTTTGAGATGAAGTTTCGCTCTTACTGCCCAGGCTGGAGTGCAATGATGTGATTGCCGCTCACTGCAACCTCTGCCTCCCAGGTTCAAGCAATGCTCCTGCCTCAGCCTCCCAGGTAGCTGGGATTATAGGCAGCGCCACCATGCCTGGCTAATTTTGTATTTTTAATAGAGACAGGGTTTCTCCATGTTGGTCAGGCTGGTCTTGAACTCCTGACCTCATGTGATCTGCCTGCCTCAGTCTCAAAGTGTTGGGATTACAGGCATGAGCCACCGCGCCTGGCCAACATGAAACACTTCTAAAAGATAAGTGGAAATTCAAGCCATTGATTTTTCTGACACAACTGACTACACACACACACACACACACACACACACACACACAATTTAGCTGTAATTGACACACACACACACACACACACACACACCACAATTTAGCCGTAATTGGAGTTAAAAATCAAGTTAAAAAATGTTAGTCACGTTTTCCAATTTGTGAGTTATACAATATTGGATTAGA